TAGGCAATTAAGGCAGTTCTCTGATCACATTATGTGCGTTAGACGGTATAAAGCAAATACAATTTGATTCACTAAGTCTAAGACTATGCCGAGAAAATTGGACATAGTTATGCAAACTAGAACCAACCCACAATATCACTTTCGAGATAATTAGATTTTTGTAAAAACAGTGTGAAGAAATAAATATGTAAGTTATTTGAGACAAACAACGTGAGTTACGTGTAGCATTGAGAATGGTATAGGGAAACTATTATATTATATATCAATAAATAGAAAACATTATGTATTTCTTTATTTAGTTAATGAGAACCATGTGCTAGTTTTCGTAATGAAAACGCTAGAGATCTACAGTACTTCAGTACATGTGACATGGTTCTTTTTAGCTATTAAAAAGTTACTTATTTAGAGTTGGTACCCTGAAGGAATTTTATTTTCTCCATTTTGACTTGGTATATTGCCAGGATCTTATGTGAGCGGGTAAAGGACACGTCTGGTGTTCTACCTAAAATACATAACTCAATTTCAGTCGAGGTGTGGGTTGATTCTTGTTGCATAACTATGTCCACTGGTCGAGCATTCTACAATATCGTGTCCGTGACAGCTTACAGAGAGTTTCTGGGGCTTTCCATTATAAATATAAAATTGTATTATTTTTGTTTTTGACAGTAACGATATAGTTATACCTACATGTATATTAGTACATATGAATTATACCTAAATAAACTTATGCTTACTAATAAATACACGTTGCAGATTAGGATAATGTCAGAAGAAATTTTTAGTTATAGCACCGGCACGCTACGATGGCCGTTTTGACGTTTGTCGGCTTATCAAGTTTCGTATTATTTCATAACATTTTCATGACTACGTTGATGGAGATTATTGCTGTACATTATTGTCAATAGGGACGTGCAGTAAAATTTATGGAATGTATAATTTTACGACGCAACTCGGCATTTGTTTTTGGAAATTCGAAATTTTTAAACATGAAATCTAATACGAACATCACTTAAGGGATCGCTGGCCAACACAACTTCTACCTCCGGCAAACTCGCGTCAAAGCTCAATGCAAAACAAAGCAGTTTCGCATTGACGATATATTGAGTAAACATTTTTATTTTCGTTTTATTAAAACTTTTAATTAGCTACCCCTTGCAATACTAGGTATAAATCTAAAAACTTTTGGACGCGACTCGCATTTGATAGTTTTTTTTTTCGATATTGAATTGAGATTTGACCTTACTAATGTAATCTGTCAAAACGGCCATCATAGCGTGCCGGTACTGTAATATTAATAATTTAAAAATATACCTATTTTTAATTTCTATTTAACACTCATTTATTTGAACGTTAAGTAAAGTCTTGGGTTAAGAAACTGCCTTGACCCAAAACACTTGTTAAAGTTTGTATAACGTATTTGAGAAACATCTAGTTAGAATTCAAATGGCAACACTGAGCGTGCTAAACTGACGAGGCTGTGTCGTAATGTTTGTGCCTAAAATTGTAAATAATGAACCTTTTGGAGGGAAAAGTGTCGTTTTTATTTTGACTTTCAATTATTTTGTGGAATCTAAAATTCGCGAAATTATACGAATCTCGAACTAAAATACCCGTATCGGCCCGTTTTAAGGAATCCCGAGTCAATCCAAGCACGCCGCCTCAAATTGCCTATCCTCTTTGTGGCGGCCATATTTACGGAAACATAATTAAACTTCATGTTTAGGCTGATGGCTTTGCCAAAGCCTTAATAAATTAAAAAAAATCATAAAACTAACGTAATTGCCAATTTAGTGAAATTGAGTTATTAACATATCTGGTGTCAGCGAATCGAAAGCTACAACCCCCCTCTAATATTTTTTTAAATATCTTATTTAGTTTCAGTTTTATTGTTACGAGTCCTATGCTACTACAGCTCGAATTCAAAATTTTCCCGTGCTAATACGGTTCATTTTGCTTTGATCGTGCGGCAATGACACGGGCTTTCAGTATCTCTATTTTTGGGTATATAATCGATGTTAATTCAATGGGTCCTGTGAGTCTCATCCACAATCTTCTGGCCGCCCCGTCGTTATAGTCCCACCATCTAGCAGGTGGTCTACATCGAGGACGTGCGGCACAGTTACCGTTGCCACAACGCGCCTACGAAACGCGATCTCATGTTGCTAATTGTTTGATCTTTGAGATCCACGATGCTGACATTACAATGTTAACATGACAATATTAGCAAACTAATGTGTCAAGCTAACATAACGTGTCAAATCTGTAAATAGCGATAAGAGCGTGTAAGCGTTTTGGCTCTTAATATAAGTTTACATCTTTTTATGAATAATTAAAAAATAAATAAAGTTACTTTAGACAAAAAAATACTTTTTAACTTCGAAGAGAACATTTATAATAATTTTAGATTAGATTAGATTTTGCAGTAGAGCTGTGTTCCGGTTTTGAATGGTAAGGATGCTGGTGAAATTGTAGGCACATGTCAACTTATGTCTCAGGGTGACGGGCGCAGTGGGAGTACCCTCAGATCTTTGCAATATAAAGCTATGAGTGGCACTGTAACTGTTATGGATAGGCGTGTAGCTTACGATCAGGTGCATGACTTGTTCGTCCCGTCATTTCGTGTTATAAAAAAAACTTTACATATACCGATATTTTTTTTAATATCAACTAAATAGAACACGTGTTGTATACGACAGGTATACGTTTTTCAAAAGGTTTTAGTGTCGTTCGTAAAATAATTTCAGTACAGAGTACTAAAAAACTGACCTCAAAAGTTCGTAGAATTACATCTATTTGGCAAGTTTTATTGAAATCGGATACCGGGTATGCGCGTAACCGGATTCATCGCCTAGTTTGCCACCCATTGAGGTGAACTGTTTCCCCTAAATTTAAATGGGACCAAAACCGAAGTATCCTATTCCAACAAAAAAGAATCATCAAAATCGGTTCACAAATGCGCCGGAGTTATCGCGTAATATGCACACGAATTTAGAACCTCTTCCTTTTTTGAAGTCGGTTAAAAATAAGACTATGCAAAAACTAGAACCGCTATAATGTTGTAATAACTCAGAACTTAGAAATAGGCAACACCGTTTTAAGTACCAAGTTATACAAGTAAAGGTTACACGAGCTGTCTTAATTTAGTTTTACTGCACCTAGCCAAAGGCTGGGTTTAGGTGTGTCGCAATTGCCTAGGATAAAGTTTTGTTACGGAAAATTGTACACTACATTTTGTGCCTAAGGTGATACTTATGTGAATTGAATTCGTTTAAATGTGAGACCTATAGTCCATTTGTTTACGTACTTAACTAAATGTAAAGTCTGATTTAAGAAATGATTTTTACTTTCCTTCAAATACAAATATCATATGAAATTGCATACCTATTTTTATACCTATACATATATATATATTTTTAAAGATGTATCAAGGTTGTTTACATTTAGTTAAGTATCTAAACAAATGGACTACATCATATAACAGTAGTTAAAAAGAAATTTAACCAATCATATATCAAATTTAATAAATTTACTATTATTTGACGACTGGACACGTGCCTTGCACACCGGTTTCCATGGTTCCCGAGTGCATCCCCGGCCAGGTCAACGTAGAAAACTAACTTTTTTTAATTGTCTCGGGTCTGAGTGTGTGTGTGTGTGGTAACGTTGTTGTTTCCGATTTCCACAACACAAGTGATTTAGTTATTTACTTTGGGATCAAAGCAACGTGTGGGATGTTGTCTAATATATATTTATTTATTTAACTATACTGCCGTCCGCTAACGAAAATACAGCTAATAATAATAATAAAATATGTTTTTAAGATATCATAAAAAACCATAACCCAGTTTTAGAATATTGAAATTATTTAATGATATTCCAGCTATGCATCGTTTAGCGTAAGTTTCGATAAGTCGAACACCTTAACTAATTTTAACTATTTTTAAAACAGAATTTTGTGATCTATCCTTTGCTATTTAAAACGGTTATTTCGACATTAGTTATGTAGCCACGTTTTAGTTAGTGAACGGCAGTATAGTTGTCCGGAATT